CGGGACGTTGCGCGCGGTATAACAGTCCAGTTGAATGTAAAATAAAATTAGAGACGTCCGTTTTTTATGGATAGGATTCGCACGAACTTAAGATTTGAGAAACTTGTCGCAGAGAATCGTTAGCGCGATGATCAATTTTGTTTCTAAAATAGTGCGTAAATATTTCAGAATCCGATATCGCCGCGTTATCAGGTGAACGATAAGGCGCGACAAGTGTTTTCCTGATACGACATTGTCTTTTGAAATATTAAATAGCCGTTTTCTCCGTTATAACTAGTGTATACAAAAAAATTGTCAATAATCCTGAACGATTCCGTTTTCCAGAATTTTTTGTATGCACAGATTACGTGTAAACTGCTAAACTGATACATTAGACAAACTTACATACGCGATAAGAGATAAACCGTGCAAGCTTATAAACTCACGAGTTAAAACGGTGATAATCTTAAGACGACGAGTTTTCAAGTATTTTTATTTCATTAATTCTCGCGGCGCTACGATACGATATGTGAATTAATAACGCAAATTATATCTTACGAGCTTTCAAAGTGTTAAGCGTTATGTAAAATTTGCGATAATCTCTGAATGAACGTGCGAGAGAGAAAAGAAGTGAATGCGCGACCGGCAGTTTTTTCTTGAGACACGTGCACTCCACGTCGTATTGTAATCGTTTATATAATTACGAGTATAATAATAATAATATTTAATCTATGTGTGTGAAATATATATTTATTTTCTTGTTTTTTTAAAGTCGCTGTTGATATATTTACGGTTTCCTGCATTCAACCGCAAATAGCGGATAAATTGTGAAGCACGTACACTGTTTGCTGTCATAAAACTAAACACATTATAAAAGTGCGTTTAAGTCTTCATTTTCCTCGAACAGTAGTCTCCGTTATGTACCGATCCGTTAGATCTGGTCGTTCTGCGAGATTGCCATATTTGAACAATTGTCTGTTATACAATTTACAGTGCACTTCTTGTACGCATCACACACACACACACATACACACGCAACAAGACACACAATTAATTACATTATTATTATCGAGAAATCGAAAACATCGATTTCCAATGCGTCGGAAATTTTTCGCGAAGACGAGGTCGTTAACAGCAGGGTGAGAGAGCTCGGGAGAGAAGCTCTCAGTGTATTAAGTCACCTCGCTTGTTTTACGGACAAACCGGCATATAATACGCGGAGGAACTCTGTGCACGAGAGCGAGTCCGAGCCTCCCGGTGAGAGCCGTTCATCAGCCTCGATTTAACGGATTTGCACCATACAATCTCGGTCGTTTCTCGCTCCTTTTTCGTTCGGCGTTAACGCGCCTCGTGCCCTCGTCGAGTTGCCTCGAGAGTGTCAAAGTCACGATCGGCTGATCCGCGAAATTGGCTCCCAACAACAAGTGCGACGCGTCGGGCCGATCGTTGCGAAACGATTTAAATTCGAGAAGATGAAACAGGAAACGTTCAAGGTTATTTTTCGACATTTCACTTCTGAGAGGCTTTTGTTAGAAATCGAGTTGTTCATGGGGAGAATATTTCGAGTGTCGAAAATTTTTTGACGCGCAAGTATCGGTTCCCTCCTCCGTTGGCGAGAAAGAAGTTCCCATTATTTAATATACGAAGAGATTTGTATATGTAGTACTTGCTATTCATAATCCTCCACAATGGACCGTAAGATCAAAAGCTCAAGCGGTAGTTTGAACACAATGATACACGGTTACATGTAAATTTAACGACGTGCGACGTGAAGTTTAATGAGTCATGAGAATTTTAATGTGGTCCTGGTATTGGTAAAATCGTTACGACATGCGCTTTCTCTCCAAATCGAACGAATAGACTTTTTTTTGCACATTAATTTAAGGAAGACGATTTGATTCCCCGTGACAAAATCGTTTTAATAAAACATTACACGCTCTCTCCCGATATTATCGATTGTTGCATCCGCTTGTTGATTAAACGTTTGTTCATCGACTAAATGTCCGCGGGAGATGTTTCGCAATTTGGCGCTAATGATAAAACTGTTGAGTATCAAGCGTATATATGTTTTTGTTTTTTTTTTTTTATATTACGTTATCAAATATCTATTTCACATTCTCTTCAGATCTAAACATCGATTACGTTTTAAACTAGAAGATCCGACAAGAGAGTGTTGCTGTAGAATTATATCTTGTGTGTATCACATGCAGAATATAGTAGAGAGGGCGTATTCGTTTTATTACCAGAGACCGTATCGAAGAAGCCCATCGACCGTTTCAATATCCTGTCATGTACAAGAGCAGGTTTTCGTATTCTGATTGAAAACTTGAGCGCGTATCGAAAACATATGATAGTTCATTAAATCATTAATTGAGAGACTGCTTATATATCATTTTATACACTAAGTTTTCGATTTTTAACAGTTGAAGAAAAATTTTTCTCAAAAATTAAATTAGAAGGTCAAATTTGAGCACATTGAAAGGATGTTTTAATTAATCCATTAACATTAAAATATAAAACGCTTTAAAAATAACTCAAAACGTTTAAAATAACATTTTATTTCGTAATATTTCGACCCTTACTTGGGTCTTCTTCAGACGTGAAAAACAAAAAAGTCAGAAACGAAAAATTTTTCTCGACGTAGAACGTGAAATTGGAATTGTACTTTTTATCGACGCGCGCGGAAGTAAAGGTGCACTTTATTTTTTGTGGAGAGAAGAAAATGCGTCCCATAAAATTCCAGTGTGCACTCGTAACAAAGTGCGACCCGGTAATGTGCATGACGCGTTTTTAAAAGCCAGTGAACGAACTCTCTCTCAGAACGCACTGATGAGCTTTTGTCACCGAGCGCCGAAGTGCACTGTGGCGAGGAGTCACATTTTCTTCCTTCCTTTCTTTCTTTTAGCAAACCGCAATGATAATATCGCGCGATACACGCGTCATCGTTTGTTGCGACTCAATTACAGACTTATCATTGCTAAAGTGGGTATAATGAAGAATTGCGCGATAAGCAATTCTTATATTGATTTGTTCGCGCGCATCGACGGCGCGCAAAAGTAATAACTCTCCAAGATATTCGAAATGGCAGTGTGTATCGGATCTTTATTGTTGAGAAGTTTACATAACACGTAGTCTCGACGTTTCTCGTAACGCTTTAAGTGACTTTATTTACAATCGAATGTCAATCGCACGCACTTGACAGGCATCGTGTGTGCAAATGATAGAAAATACAGTAAAGTTTATTTTTGCGTTAACGAAAGAAGAATTGTGCGTGTGAAATAAGCTTAATTAACATTTTTTCTCTTCGTCAAATAAAAATATTGATTTGACAAGAGAGAAAACCGGTTTTACAGTCAAGAGATAAAATCTTTGTGTTGAAAGGATAGCGACTTTTTTTACAAGTTTTTTTTTTGTAAAGGTTGTTCTTTGCGAATTTGTGAAAAAAATCAATATCTCGAATACAATCGAATGTTCACTTGATTTACTGAATCGTCACCGATCTCTTTTTCTCTGCGGTCGAGATGTCGATTGGACTACAGGACAAATTAAACGAATTGTCGTGGAAAGGGTCGGATGAAGCGGAAGTTCGGCACACTTACCAACACGGATATCATCGATGTAATGACCTGTTTGCTCGATGCGAGTGTCGGTTTCCCTCGAACGTACGAAGTTCGCGTCGCTTCGGTAACGTAAAGCCGCACAAAACGCCGTGGGTGACGTTGCGTGCACGCACAATCGAGCGGCGTAACGCGCGAGAGCAACGTCGGCTATGGATTTAACGATTGTTCAACTCACGTCGGAAGTTAATTCGTCCCGGAAGTTTACGTTGGAAAATGATTGACTAACAATGGTTTATATGTTTTTATAAAATGAATTCAAGATGGAGAGAAAAACAAAACTCTACACACGATTGAACTTACATTGATTTGATTTTATATTTATCAACAATTATATACGAACGAAGCACGTAATCGTTTACGCGATTACGCAAACATCGCTGACATCACACATCCCATAAAAAAAAAAAAAAACGCACATAGGTGCGCCGAAATCCGTGAATACAACGTCGTGCACCGTTAGTAGGGTAACGTTGTTAAAAGGACGCGTTCCCTACACGCGGGATGAATTAGGGCCATTTACCAGACGCACAATCGTAAACAAGGTGCAGCTAACGAGGACAAGGGCCTCGAATTGTATACACGTGTAATCGACCGTTAAGTAATTTACGTTCATGAAAATAGTATAATTTCGTTTCATCTCTCACGGTTTCTGCTCCGATACTTGCTGCCAGTATAAATTATTTTTCTCGAAAATATAAATGGATTTTTAAAATTATTTTTAAATAATTTTCGCTATATGTGCGTGATTTTGAATTTTCAAAAATGTTGTACTTGTTTATATATATTAATAATATGTACAAGTTCATTTCTCGAGCAGACCGTTGAACGAAAATCTGATTTATTTGCAGTTGACTGACGTTAAATCGATTACATTCGAAAATCAATCAATCTTGAAGTGTTTGTTTCAAGCCTTCGATATATCTTACCTCTCGATGTTTCGTGAAGTATTTTATTTACGTGCGAATGAAAGTTTCGTCGAAATCGATCACGCGCACGATGATGATGCGTTCGATTCAACTCTCAATAACGCAGCCGCAAGAAAGGCATGACTTCGGGTCATTGATACGCGCGTGCGGAGAAATTCTTACGATCTCCAGCTGAGGTGCTTCGTTACGACAAGCTTCGATCACGCTCGGCACATTTACGGGCGCGTTAGAATGGATTTAGATCGTACCTAGAGTCCGACTCATCGATATGCGCCCGTCGTGCCGAAGGATCATAGAGAATAATAGAAGATAAACCGTGTTTCTATTTATAAAAAAAATAACAGTAAATCGACCGTTGCCTCGCGCGATCGGATTGTTCGAATGTAACACAAGTTACGAATGAAGTTACAATGGTTTTGAAATGTTTTTTTTTTTTTTTTTTATCTCACGTGGAATAAATTTTTCTTTGTTACAGGCTGAGTCTGAAGTCGCCGCCCTGAATCGTCGTATTCAGTTGTTGGAGGAAGATCTCGAGAGATCCGAAGAGCGTCTTGCCACTGCCACTGCCAAATTGGCAGAGGCATCGCAAGCTGCCGATGAAAGCGAACGGTAAGTGTTTATTATCGAATATACCATAAACAATATTGCGATTGTTTTTACAATATGTTTATCCAAGAAGCAATTATTTTTCTGATAAAAATAAAAAATAAATACATATAAATACATATACGTGTTACTCTAATTAATATCAATAATAATTAATGTTCAGTTGATACAAAAATAAGTTTTTTTTCATACATCAGAAGAAAATAATTGCTCAGTGTGTTATGTCCAGTTTGTTTATGTAAGAACAATTGAAAAGAGAGTAGCACATTGATAGTACATTGATTAGATTGCGGAGATATTGATAAAATTGTTCATTGCATTTGTTTAAGTAAACAGTAATATGTGTGTATGTGTTGTTGTGTTTAACTATCCGTTACTTAACTATTTATATAGAAAATATGACATTTCACTCTTAATTGTTCTTACGTAAATATAAATTACGCGTTAGCAATGTAAGATTGTCGTACGTTTAATTTACTTAATATTTTATACGCAGACAAAAAAAAAATGTTTTACTATCGAGATTGTCTTAAAAGTACGATTTAACCAGTCACATCCTAGTTTACTTTTTTCTTGCGGTTTCATATCGCATATCCGCCGCGATAATAAATTCTCAGTATACAAAAGATATGACTAGTAAGATGCACATTTTCTTACATATTGAATTATTTTATCTCTTTCAAACATAGATATATAAATTTGACAAATCGTTTGTAAATTATATCGAGTATCAAGGTCAATCAAGTAAGTGCATTTAAAATTGTGAAAGATTAATCGCGATCGCGATTACTTTATGGCTATATAACGTAAATGCTTAAAATAACACTAGGCTTTTTTATCGTCACTGATAACGAATGACGTGTAATAAATACGCGCTCTACACTTCTTGATGCATACTATAGTTTAGCAAGTACAAAAGAAAAAGTGTCAAAAATATGTTTATCAAAAGCTTTTTTCTTTTCTAATTTCTCGATTTGTGATGCTCTTGAGCAGAGTTACAAGAGAAAAAATCATTGTTTTATATTGAAAATAATAATTGAAAGTTATCACTTCAGAATTATCACAAAAAATTAATATCTTAGAGCACATAAATATTCAAGTTAGATAAAATTTACAAAAAAAATATAAGACTTGGAACGCTTGCAAATGTACATTCGTATTGTTTATTTTTTTTAATTAATTGTCAGAAGTATTTGGTTTAATTACTGAGCGAAGAAATATACTGCCACGCGTAACAATTATCGTTTTCACATTTTTGGCGCGATTAACGTATTTCTAAACATCGACGAACAATCAAATCGTTAGGATACGCAAGGCTCTTGAAAACCGAACCAATATGGAGGACGACCGAGTATCTTTGTTGGAGCAGCAGCTAGCACAGGCAAAACTGATCGCAGAGGAGTCGGATAAAAAATACGAGGAGGTGGGTCACCTACCAGCGAATAAAGGATCTCTTAATTTTTCTTGTCGGAAGCAAACTACCAATCGTTTGTGGACGTTTATTACTCCTAATATTTCTGAAGAAAGAAATATATTCTCAATTTAAATGCAAAATAAAAACAATTACAAATCACTTTTTTTTTAGTTGAACGAACACTGAGAAAAAGAATCGTCCAGCGATCGATCGGTGGTGATCTTCCCCAAAATTCTTCCAGATAAATTTCACAGGTGAACGCGAATGTTGTAGCTGAGCAGAGCAAACCAAGACCTTCATCAGAAAATCTATCTTAATTTTTAAGTCCATTTATATTCATTGATTTTAATCGTGAACTCTTTCGTTCGACATGTGTTCCATCTTAAAGCGCTCGCAAGATTCTCGAGAATCGCAGCTTGGCGGACGAAGAGCGCATGGACGCCCTCGAGAATCAGCTGAAGGAAGCCAGGTTCCTCGCCGAAGAAGCCGACAAGAAATACGATGAGGTTCGCGTGCCCGCGACTACTACTGTCGAGCGTGTTGGCTGCAGTGACGATGATAATCATGACGACAATGGTTCCTAGTCGATAATCAAAATAGTGCCTAACCCCGTAACTCTCTGTCTTCTCTTTGTGTGCTCGAAAACGACGATCGTGGTTTGTCACCTATGTATGTACACGCGCCTCCGAGCGATATGTAGAAATTTGTTGTTCATGAATCCGTTATGAGGGATCGATTGCAGTTATAAAACGATCTTGCTACGTTTTTCGCGACTCGAGATAAGATTTTCGTGAGAAAAGTTACGAGGATAAAGAGTAAGTTCGTTTTTCGCAGTGAGATATCTGGAAAGGATCGAAAATTAAAAAAAAAAGAAAACCGCGTGAATGTCGGATCTGTGATTGCGTCGAGCAGCGAATAAAAGTGAAAAAAAAAATGGGTTTTTTTTACAAGAGTTTTACGTGTTCGCGACAGTGAAGTGTTTTAGAGATCGTTCGCGTTTTATTCTCGCGATTTGTAGAGAGGATCTCTAAAAAGAGAGATCCTCGCGCTGAAGAGATGAAGAAAGAGGGGAGTGGTGAGACGTATCGTATGATGGATGCAGTGTTCACGTGCGTTGTTTTCAAGAGCGCGACTTAACGCAAAAAAATCAGCTATCTGTGATTTTAAGTGTTTCCCTTTCGATTTTAAAAAGCCAAGAAAAAAAACCTCAAGTGCCAGTTTCATAAATAGAATTTAGTCACATATATTGTTGCTATACTCTTGTTATCAGTTATTGTTATATGATAGATAGAAGTTCGGAGAAGTTCGTGTAGGAAATGCGCGCGTATAATTACGACAGTTCGATATTATTCAAGCGGAATTTAAGTTGTCCGTGGAGATTGGAGCGCGTGCTCGCGGGTTTGTTGTTTCGCATCTCTCCGAGACCGACCTCGTTAATCAAAAAAAAAAAAGAAAAGAAAAAGAAAAATCGTCAATTGTGTTGTGTGTGATAATGAGAGGCCGCGCGACTTCGTAGCGGCTTCGCGTCAATATAATTGTGGTGCTACTTCTGTTCTCAAAGACGCTCGTTTCTCGCTTTTTGCTGGAATTTCGGAACGTGCGGCAAAAAAATTATGAGAGTGTGATGGTAGGTGTTGGTCGCGATAACGTTGAAATTACGGTTCATGTTTTACCATTTCTTTTTGTTGGGATTATATGTAATATATCACCATTATCACTCGGGCGGGATAAGATATCGGAGATAACTCGGTAACCTTCCATCTGCATTAAATGATAATTCACAGTTTACGTGATATGAAGCTTTCTAATATCTGTTTTTTGTAATTTAATAAGTTTACGTACAAAACTCCATCGTTTTGTACATAATTTCGATACGTACAAAAGATTATTAAAAAATACGCAAAATCTGATTTATTAGCAACTTTTTTGTACTTCTGTTAGAGTACTATATATATATATATCTTTTTTTTTTTTTTTTATAAAAGCTTCAGTGTGCGAATTCACCGTAATTTCAACCACTTTATCTTCCTTACCCGATGACGTTTCATGCGATCTGTTAATCATCGTTAATTAACAGTATGCGCAAAAAACTAATCGTCAGTATGCATAGAGTTGATTTTATCAACGCGAATCATCTAGTTTATTTCTGTAGATACTTGCCTCCTCTGCCGCTTGTTGAAACCTCTTAATTAACGATCTAACTGTCCAATCCGTTACAGAAAAACTTATCGAGATGATGACGAGTTCTAACAGCAACCAAGTGTGCTAATGTGTTTTCGTCTTCTTTTTTGTTTTGAACATAGTTGTTTATAGCAATTCGTGGTTTGCTGTTTGTTTTGCGAAAACGTGTCGCAATCCCAATCGCAAAAAGATGACGTAAAATCGAAATCAAACGGAGAAATTATCGCGTAATAATTATAGATGATATATTTCTTATACTCTGTATCGTAATTTACAATGCTAAACGCCGCGACCTCATCAGATGTAATTATAGAATCGGAAAGGCGTGATTATATTATACGATCAATTTACATTTTCTCAACGAGTTGAATGAAATCGTTTTCATCGCCTTGAAAATTACAGTTATTATCTTTTGTTATTTAACCTATTTCGCGAGTCATTTGCGAGTAATTATTGTCGAGAGGTTAAATCGATCTCGAACAAGGTGCGAATGTTGTGCGTAAAAGTCTCTTGTGATGAATATGAATAACAAAGTAAAAAAAAAAAAAGAGAAAAAAATTAAAAGCGAGAAAATACAGGACGAATCAAACTTCCTGCACTTGCGAATCTTAAAATTGTCCTGTGAAAATCCTTTTGCGAATGGTTGCTGCGCGATTGCGCGAAAGATGTGTTGCATGAACGAGAGATCGTTACAGAACGAAGTTACAGTCGCAAGTTGTATTTGTCAAATTACCCTCGAGAGAAAGATTCGAAATAATTTCTGTTCTATGACGATCCTCTTCTCGAAAATAAAAAAACATTTATAAAATTAACACGTTCACACGTGTTGACAAGTCGATCAGGACTGAGCTGCAGGCGACTTGCGTGCTGTATTTCTGATCGTTTGGTTTTCGACAGCGTGACTGATTGGAAGAGGAAGAATTGCTTCACACACACGAGCGTTTTGAAAGACTGGTCATTTGGAGAAAATTGATGTTTAATGCAGCAGTCCGGTCTGCTGCTAACGCGCTTTTTAGCTTGAACACGCAAAGACGCGCATATGTAATATATTAAGTTCTATAAAAAAATTACACTGATGAAGATTTTACGCTCTTCTTTCTTATAATTAAAACTCATAAAAAGAAATCGCGTGTTTGTTTGTTAAAAATGTATTACATGTGGAGTTTCTCTTCTCCGGATGAGGAGTAACTTTAAACGCCACTCTCTCGGGTTAAACGCAAATATTATCATACATTGTGAATCTCTCCGAGAAATCAGTCAGTAAACTTCGTGCGCGTGACACACGAGAGAAAATCTCCATGCGGACTGTAACTCTTCCAATTGCGGTTACGATGACGACGACGGCGAGACGCCGGTGTTCTTGCCGTCTCGCCGCCTCCGGAATTTTTCAGAGGCGGTGAGGTCACCGTAGGGAGGCAGGGAATAACACATATTGTTAGAAATCGTGTATGTATGTAATCGTTTATACAGGTCGCCCGTAAATTGGCCATGGTTGAGGCCGATCTAGAACGCGCCGAGGAGCGTGCCGAGGCCGGAGAGTCGTAAGCATCGTTTTTATTAGGCATCTCTTTTCGTCCGGCATTTTTTTTTTGCCAGGAGTGCAAACGATTCTGTGGGTTTCGTTTCCCTCATCCTCTCCCCGCAATCTTCCCTCACTTTTTGCTCATATTGCGCATCGTCGCGCTTCGCGATTCGCTCCTGTAACTTTTTGACAGCACCGTTAGTTCGCATCCATGTCGTCGATGAGGACCGAGTGCGATCCCCTTCCTCTTAACCACACCCGTGCTCGTTCTGCACGATAATGATTCTTCTACTCCTGATTGCATTGTCATTAAAAAGCCACTGTGGAGTGTGCGAATTAATATTTCCTTCGTCGCGAAAAGCCAAGATTACGAAATATATATGTTAAAACAAAAAAAATATGTAGTTGTTAAGGAATCTTGTAATAATGGCTTTTCCACAAAAACAACAACTTCTCTGCGTTCAAGAGACACAAAATTATGAAACAAACGTTAGTTGGTGCGGCAAGTTTATATTTTTTGAGTAATAGTTTAATTAAAAAGAACTCATGTACGTCACGAAGTACTTAATCCCCGCAAAAAAGAATTTGATCGTGAAAATACTCATGGACGCAGACGTGATTTTGTACTTTTCGTTGATGTGTTACAATGCACTCGCTAACTTCTCAATAGGCAGAAAGAGAGGAGAGACAAGGAGATACGTACCACCGGGAATTTCATGCGTCTCTGCATGCTAACACCTTAATTGTTTTTGTTACTATTTTATATATTGCCTATTCCCATCACTCTCTCTTGCTTTTGCGCATGACACGTGTGGCTGTTGATCACAGGTCGCCAGAAAACTAGTCATGATGGAGCAGGATCTCGAACGCGCCGAGGAGAGGGCCGAGATAGCCGAATCGTAAGTACAAATCACCTGCATGTGTTCACGGTGTGTTTCTCCTCTTTTTATGTACAACACGACGCAACTATCCTTCGCTTATCTGTCATAAAAAGTTCGTATCATCGACGAACGTTTCATCGTAAAATTATTTTGAATAAACAGTAATTTTTAGTATTATAAAATAAAAGACTTTTTCGACTACACATATATAGAAATTTAAAGTTTTTTACAACTGGAAACGTTTGTCTATAGTCTCAACATCTTCTATTTTTTATGCACAAAACAATATCAAATAGATTTAAATATTCACACAATGTTAAACCGTGTATATTTAACTTTGCAGCAAGATCGTCGAGCTTGAAGAAGAGTTGCGTGTCGTCGGCAACAACTTGAAGTCTCTCGAAGTCTCCGAGGAGAAGGTAAATGATTTATTTTTCGCATGACGTACTTGTTACACACAGTCGGAGCGGAACATTATTCCGTGAATTTATTATATCGCCTCCCTTAATTCTTATTTTATATTAAAATTATTCTTCTTGAGCACTAATAATAAGCTCATTGAATGCCGGAAAGTAATATGAATAGAAAGTAAGTTAGATTCGCCTATATAATAACGCGTACATTGATCGACAAATTAAATCGACGAAAGTGTCAATAATTGTGTCGCTATTACTTTCGAGCCAAACGTTCTGGAGAAAAATCAATTATCGTCACACCGGAGAAAAAATTAATATTCACGTGATTAATATTTACGTGCATAGGCCAACCAGCGCGAGGAGGAATACAAGAACCAAATTAAGACTCTTACTACCCGTCTAAAAGAGGTACACACATTCGTGCGAGAATGTTTGGTTTTGCGTTGTCTAACGTGTGTGATCGATTCTCGCGTTTTTCTCTTTTTAGAGATTTTACCACTAAAATCTATTAACCCGCGTGCCCCTGTTGTTGTTGTTTTTTTTTTTTTTTTTTCTACTGCTGATCTTAATTTCTAAAAATAACTGAATAGCGTTTGAAGTTGTTGCTGCGGACTAACGAGAGCTCGTTTTGTCTTTTGTTGTTGCTTTATTAAAACTAGGCGACGCAGAGAGAGGAGACGTTCGAGGGTCAAGTGAAGATACTGGATAGTCAATTGAAAGAGGTAAGCAAAGACAAAAATGAGACTGAGAACTCACTTTTCTTACGACATCTTCCGAATATCAAGAATTTTGCATTAAATATAATTACAGTATTTTCAATCTCGCTTGTAAATTGTTATAAATTATTATTGAAAGAGCAGAAAAAAAAAGATTATTTACGGAAAGCATCACATGGAGTTTTTGAGATTTTTTATAAATATCCAGCTGAATCTATATCTCGTAGATCACGTGACAAGATACGAAACACAAATGTGTAAATAATACCGTAAGTGTTTTAAATAGTTGTATTGTTTGAAAAAGTAAATCGTTGTTCTTAATAATTACGTTAATCATGCAAGATAGCGTGTGGCAACTAAACTCCTTTCAAAACCTTAATATTGAACTCATAGTGCAGCTGCATTCATGTGTAACGTGCGGTTTGTTTTTTTACTCGCATGGCGTGAAAAAAATATTCATATTTGATTGACTCTCAATTAATATGCTCCAATATCAACGATTTCAAAAAAAACAAAACGGTCATAAATCTAGCCAAAGGATTGCATTTCTTGACTCATGTTTTACGAATTACTTACATGTCAAAGTTTTTTTGAAATCGATGAGCAATCACGTTAAACTTGCAATTTCCTGACTGATAAAGCGTTACGTTTGCGCAGGCTGAGGCACGTGCTGAGTTCGCAGAAAGATCCGTGCAGAAACTCCAGAAGGAAGTAGACAGGCTCGAAGGTGCGTATCGCAAAAAAAAGAAATCACATATTATTAATTTGGTTTTTTATTCAATGTTACTAAATTCAATTAGATTTTTTTTAATTGGTGCGTTGAAATTTGGTAATATAGACTTTTTCTCAAACGTAGAGATTAGATAAGGTACAATTTTTTTTTTTTTTTCAACAAATGGAAAGAGAAAGAGAAAAGAATTCAGGAGAGAATTTAGTATGTTCAGTATGATTACAAAGATTTCTAAGCAACTAGGTGGTTTTTCACGAATCTAAAGCGTTCACACTTGAGAAGGTTTGAAAATAAAAAAATAATTCGAGGTATCCGAATGTTAAATAAATAAAAATATTGAAGAAACTAATTAATATGAACCGTTATATTTTTTTCTATCTAAAAAATTTAATCAAGTATTTTCTGGACTTCATATCAATTAGTTTCTACAATTAACACACGTACGTGACACACGTCAGGGAACATGGCGATTTTTGACAATCGTAAAGCAGTTCTACCTTCACCCCGATTTTGCGCCGTGTGTGTATGTGGTGTGTGCCGGTGTTTTATTTGCGCATTGACCCATCTAACCGCCGAAACGTAGTGTTGTTACGCTCGCGTGTGGCTTGCCGTGTGTTACTTCCCTTTAACCAGTGATGTTTACAGACGACCTCACGGCCGAGAGAGAGAAAAACAAATTGCTACAGGAGGAGATGGAGGCCACCCTGCATGATATCCAGAACATGTAGATCGTGTTTTTTCGCGGTGGACAAAAACGCATATCGCGAGAAAACGTTTAGCGAACGAGAACATCCGAGAGAATTTAAACAAACAAAAAAAAAAAAAAACAGAATGAAAACGAAAGAGAGAAACGAATGCAAGCGAATAGCAGAACGGCGGCAACGAGAAGTGAATGAGAAACAAACAACGCCGTTACGGCGCGAGCGCTTCGTGTGTGGTGCACACTTTAATATTAACGGATAAAACTGCAGTCTTTAGGCTAGCCTTATACCCTCCATTACGTCCATCCGCAGTGCGTGTACGTATTATGCGTGCTTGTGTGCGTGTGTGTCTGTATAATGATGACATGTGTGTGTTTGTGTGCGTCACGTGTCTATTTGTATGCGCATGACGCAAGATAGAGACTGATGTAGGATGAGAGACAAAGGGAGAAAATGTGCATGTATGCAAGGAAGAGTAAGAAAGGTACAAAAGAAGAGAGAGAGAGAGCGCGAGCGAGAGAGAGAAAGAGAGAGAGAGAGAGAAAGAGGTGATTCGGTATGACAGAGAGCAAGAGAGAATGATAACAAAGAACAAATAATACGCGACAAGGACAGACGCGGCAGGATGTGGTTCCGGTAAACGAATATGAAGTTATTTGTAATCTAAATCTGATTTTATAGCATTAGATCGTAGCTTAGTCTGCCTTTAAATTTTAATTCGAGAGAAATATTGAGGCATTGCTGCGACAGGTTTGAGGCATCTTCGAGCTTGCCGCGATTTAAATCTATTGCGAAACTGGCCGTGAAGAGTAGTGGAATAGGAGAAACAGGGAGACACATCGAGACAAAATCGTGCCGAGAGAAAAAAAATTCGATGAGAAATGTGAAACCATTTTTCTCGAGCGTGTCTATTTTTTTACGCCAAAGACGATGTTTCTATTATTTGATCTATTATATATTATACATAATATTGTTTGTTTGTTATATTAATGGTAAAACTGCGCTCGCGATTTATCCAACGGTAAAATCAGATTTTTTTCTATCAAAGAACAATTGTTAGGTAAAACAAATCCTCTTTAGAAGTGACTTCTACGAGAAATGTATTTTAGTATTTAATTTTATTTCGTCGAATGTGGGCTTCTCTCGGTACGAAACTACGATATTTTCGGCTCCCGCGCTCCTATTCGATACAAGGGAAAACAGTGTGCTCATTACTTTTTTTTTGTCAGTTTACATTCCGCATTCCACGCGGCTCAGCTCGCGCGAGAGAAAACACGTGTCAGTTCCTTTCCTTTGTCATATCTTCTCATTGCCGCCGATGAAAGCAAAGACAACGATCGATAATTGTGCATTTAAGAGCATTCCACTGCCAGCAATATTTTTTTTTCTTTTTTTTTTTTTTTTTTTTTTTTTTTTTTTTTTTTTTTTAAAGTAATATACTTTTGCGTAATATGTAATATGTCTTTGTCTTCGTTGTGCAATATTGTGCAAATCAATGAAACCGAATCAATCGATGCAATGTAAGATTAGGGACAATCAAGATTGTTTTTCTTTTTGTAGAACAAAATAATTTATCTGGCCTAGCCAATGTGTGTGTGTGCGCAGCGTGATTTTACTTGGAGCCTACGAAAAATTCAACGTGTAATATTTCAAGACACAAACTGGGGAAGAGCAACTGACGTTTTTTTTTTTTTTTACGACGTGCTGCAGCGCAGTTTTCCGTGCTAGCTGAGCCATTCGATATTTACCGATCGTTTGTGCCTGTGTATATATTTACTATATAAATGCTAACCACGGCCAATCAAACCTCGATGCAGGGAACGTGCTTCGTTTCGAATGTAACAGGAAATGAGAGAGATTGGAAATAACCGATCTCTTTAGCTATTCAATACTTCCATTTCGCGGTGCATAGTTTGTCTCTATTAATATTATTATTATTATTATTATTATTATTATATTATTATATTATTATTAGAATTATCATTATTATTATCATCATCATCATTACTATTAATTAATAAAGTTATCGTTAATATAATATTACTTAACGCTCGTCAGCAAAAACATCGCCGATTCCACGCAGAAATTTTTCCTATATTTTTTCTTTATTTTTTTAAAATAAAGAACGTATATATAATGCCCTCGATGTCGTAATCCTTCATAGCTATTCTTGTAGCACTTTTCCTGCAGCATATTCTTGGATGGCCTTTTGATGTAGGAGAATGTACATCGTCCTCTTCCTCGTGTCAATATATAAATGCACGTATTATATACATAATTGTTTTTTTCTTTTTGCATGGTCATTGAACTATTAATAGACTTATAATATGAATCGAATACACATTTAGAATTGATTTCTGACGACGCTTGAGTTTTACTAATTTTACGATTTCTTGTCGCAGTGATGTTTGTTTTAAACTCATGTCTACATTTTGCTATTATGATTATGCGGTATTAGTAAGAAAAATAATTACGTTGACATTATCATGTATCTCTTTTGTAAATATTAATAATTCTATTTATCTATTCTCAATACGAAGATGACGATGAACTAACCAAGTACAATGACATCCGAGTTATCGAAAGGCCACCCAGAGACAAACGCGCGACTTGTTTGTTCTCCGAGTTAACGCCGTCACGAAGGAAACGTTATTTAAAAAATCGAGAGAGTAAATCGCGAAAAGCACAACCACGAGACTACATGTCCCATCGTTGATTTTTGTTAGCCCCTCTCTGTTTTTTTTCTCTTTAAATAATACTAAAATTCTGGAAACGCAGTTTATAAGAGAATTTTAGTTGAGTAATTTACTTAATGAAATGAGTGGTACGACAACATAATGTAATACTAATATTGTAATAATACTGAGTATATATTGCTATTATTATATATATATATATAAAACTGTTTATAATATATATTTTAATTTTGAAAAAAGTGTGTAGTTTGTTTTTCGCGCTGTTGTTACATACTTCTTTATTTTTGTTCTTACCTGCGCGCTAATCTTCTATCGTTAACAAACCATAACGACAACTAATGTCTTGCGCGATAACACTGTGGTCGCCTTGTTGTTGTTGTTGTTGTTGTTAAACAGTCCTGTAACAAGTTGCATGACAAGCGAAGAGCCGTGGTACGTATACCATATTTACGGTGAGTAAATCCGCTTAATTCGATTTTGCTACCTAAACAAACAATGCATGTGACAAATCTCACATATAGTATATATATATGATGAAATTGAACTGCACGATTGTTTTCTATCTCTGCCATAAGAAAATTACTTTTACAGATATGTACATAAAAACTTTTCAGTTATTTGTATTATACATCTTTGACTGATTCTGATAATATTCTACATCTTTGAGTATGTTAATAATATTACAAGAAGGATTTGGCAAATATTATTTACGGTAATTGGAACAATTGATGAGTCACATTTAAGTCTATTAACATTCGCGCATTCCATACCATTGATTTATGTCTGAATTAAGTCTCAACTTTATTATCTTTATTATCTTTACCGCTGTCCTGCTTGGCCAATCCACATGCCTGCTTAGCAGAGTTCACACGATTTTAACAACAATTAAACACACACATATATATATATTTTTTTTTATATACTATTCTGAGCACTTTTTACACTTTTCATCAGTAGACAATTTTACAACTCTGTAGCAGCCTACCTATAACGTTGCGAATGCTTGCAGATGAGATGGTGACCGAAAAGGAAAAATTCAAGGAGGTCGGGGACGGCCTGGATTTGGCGTTCTTCGAACTCTATGGCGTCTAACGCGCGCAGCTACTAACTATTCTCTTAACGCTTCAACAAAAAAAACAAAACCTTTTCTTAGAAAGATAGATATAGCTTGCACTTAACACGTACTCCGTAAGTTACCCATCTATGCTTTTTAACCTGCTCGCTGCTAATAATCACAGCTTTTTAACCGAATGCCTTCCAAAGAAATCTCTTTTCTATATTTCACACTCTATTATATATTACTTTCATATCTTCTTTATCTTAAACATTTTCTCATCTTAATAAAAAATTACAAAATTGAATTGCTTAAAGATTATCTAAAGGGCCGTCTACAATGAAGGTAATAAGGCTGTAAGAGTAGAGTAAGGTTCTTGAAGTGTTATTTCATTTTTGTTTATACAAGTAATTATTTCGCGTTTTTTAACACACGTCTTTCGTTGGTTAACAGCAAGGCAGTAGGCAGTGCGAAATGGGAACCGCTCATTTCGTTATTCCCGTTGTTTCTTCGCCGAAAAATAGTTTACTCTCTACTCCTACAGCCTTACTATCTTCATTGTAGACTAGCTATAAAGAATTCACTCATATATGTTTATTTTATTCTCGTCCTTCAAGTTTATTTTTTATCTCGACATTTATGCAAATTGTCAATACATAAATACACCTGTTCTCTCATACAAACACAATGTAAAGCTATAATGATAAAAAAGATACGATGGTCAAATATTTTCTAATAAGTCTACGTCTTCTTGCAGACGAACTGGTCCACGAAAAGGAGAAGTACAAATACATCTGCGACGACCTGGACCTCACTTTCACCGAATTGGTTGGTTAAATCGGTTAATCGAGCTGTCGAATATTATTTTGCCGTGTCATCATCCATGCGGTTCGATCGCGATCGATTCACGACATCGGTCAGAAATCAAAATTACGATCCATATACTTTTGTTATCGTAAACTAAAATCAATGTACTTTAAAATACGTTCCGAGTTCTATACATGCGCTCTTTTTATTTTAATCACGCGATTACTTATTTATTTAAATCAAGACACTGCTTCTCACAGAAATTAAAATTACAAATATTTAATTTCTAGTACATATAATAGTTTTAACTTGTTGCTGCTTCGGCACTTAAAAGCGCGTGGTAAGTAGTGCAAAAAGAAAAGTCCGTTTCTGCGCGTGTCATTAATAAAACATCATAGAATTTGTTAAAAAGTATATTTATTCTCCGTTAAACAACTCTAAAATTGTCAATATTGTATAACGTCAATTTTGTTTCAAATACTCCAGTGAAATGAAGAAATAAAATATCAGATAAAATTAAAGAAAACTCTGATTTTTTTTTTGTATCCCATCTCTAACGTGTCCAGTCCTTTCGAAAAAAAAAAAAAACTAAGCAGCGTGTATCCCCGAAAATCTTTTTCCGTTAAGTCTGTTGGTACACGGAACTAAATCCCACGATCTTCCTCTAATCTGGCTTCTGAGGTATTACGAAACTATAAAAACAAACATCTGTATTTATTATCGTAATATTTCTCTTTCCTTCTCTCGCTTTATGTAATCCACTCTTTATGTTTACAAATGTCAGCTAATCTCAAAATATTGTAATATAATCTGTCGTGCAATGTGTAAGAATGTGTGTTGTTTGTGTGTCTCTTTCTCTTTCCACTTAAAAAAAAAAGAAAAGAAACGACTAAAATGTATACCTGACTAACTGTCGTACCGTCCACTAATACCACGTTTCCCTCCCTTCTCATTGCAGACGTGCTGGTAAGCGAGCGCTGTAAGTACAAAGCGATCGCCGAAGAGATGGATCAGACGTTCGCCGACCTCGCCGGATATTAGCAGGCAGGCTAAATGTATGCGACGGGAGTGTTACATGCGAAAGAAAGAGAGAAAAAAAAACAGATTGTTCACGCTACGATAAAATGACACTGCCAGCACGCGGACCCTTCGCCACACGTCGTCCAAGTATATTAGCATTCCACGCGCTGAGAAAATCGAAGATGAGAAGGATAATCTCTGACATTTAGCGTTAGCCATAGCAACGCGTGACGGCCATAGAAATTACTTTTTCAATCGTAGTGTTTTGCCAAAAGTATTACCGCGCGATTTATAACATTCCCTCGGTAGCATTTTATATAAGAACTTTACATAAGATTTTTCTTTTATCTCGGAAAAAAACGTTTTTTTTTTAACAGTGATAAGCGTGTATATTTGCGCATCCAAAGACTGGTCAACGATTAATCTGTTTTCTTCCGTTAGCTGCCGCGCAAAATGTTCAATGCCTACGGCGACTTACTGAATATCAATTTTGCCTATCTCTGCACAGCGATCTTATCTTTTATATCCAGTAATCTTCATTATTTGTCCATTTTGCGTACAACTAATATGATATCGAGAAATCTTAAGAAAATACATTTTTTTTTTCACTTTGCTTAGCGCTACAATTTTTACTGAAAATTGTCGAAAATTTGCGATTAACAAACTACAGTACAACATATACATTCCAGAAATGATACGAATGCTACGTCTTATTCTTACTCCTTTTTCTAAAAAAAAACTCTATCTTCTATGGCCTTAAATGTCACATTCATGTTCATCGTCATGCGACAAATGTGTTCAAGACACGTCTCTCTATATATAGATATATATATATATAAGCAGGAAACCAAAAGAATTTCCTTTCGATAATAATATCAATTTAATATCTATATTCGATTGTAAAGACTCGGTATAAATATGTACGAATTGCGAGAATTTAAAAATAAATTTTAATGCTAAGAAATGATTTTAGAGCCAGACAAGCATTTCCTGCTTATAGCATCCATTTTGTTTTCAGAGATGATAATATTCATCGTTAAACATACGATTCTTTACATGTCCTTCACCATACAAGTAGATAGCATGGTCCAGTGGTGCGCTTGAGTTCCGTTAAATTGTATTAAGGAACATTACATATTATCCATATTTTCAAGTCACGCTTCTATGTTGCATCATACTGTAATATCATTATATGTTGTGTCAAAGTACTGATGAAATACTAATTTACTCGCTAAAGCAAAATATTTCATTCTAATAATACAAGATATATTATATAAGTGTTCATTACAAGCATGTATAAATAATGCTTTTACAATATAAAAAAGTTTGAAAAGCAATCTGGGCTGAATCATGATACGAGAAATATGTCTGACAGAAAAACAGAATATACTATTACAAATAAAAATACGCTCAAAAACGATAGAATGAGGAAGTCGATCAAGTTCGATACATCACGACTCTCGGCAACGTAATTTTAATGCTGAACACATTTTGTACTTTAGTCTTTAATCTTTCGCATATTGAGTCAATAGTTTAATGTAATCGTGCAAGAGTTGCCGGGATTGACGATCAATCTTGGACCAAGCTCAGAAACTTTCAAACACGCACTCGATGCAGCGATTTTTGACTCTATCTTGTGTGATAATTATCATTTTATTTGTATTTATATTACTTTCAATAAATATATATGCATATTTTATATCTCTAAATATTGAATGTGTTTAAGTGTTTCATTCTCAGATCGAATTCTAAGGAAAAAGGAATTTGATCGATGACAGAAAAGGAAGGATTTCACATTTCGAGATGGAGTACGCTTGTCAATAACATGAGACAACTGCAGGTTTACATAACATATATATTCATTATTTTTTTATATGATTCAATACGATAATATAATATTATCTGTTTCTAAACACACAACGCTAACATATACTTCTGTATGTTGTAGTTAAAATTTAAAATCTTCATCTCTCTTTTCAGCAATCTAATATAATTACAAAAGTGCTGAGTAACACGTTTCCAAAAATATCGTTTCTCTTGCTTATAATAGATGGGACGACGTCATGTGTGGTTCGCAAAACAACAAGTTACTTATAATTTTTTTTTTATACATTTTGTTAATTTGCCCATTTCCACCGGACGTCGTTCCACAGTATAATACACCTATTCAGGTAAATGTAGATACGTTTCTGAGGAACCACTTTACGCTGGTAATTTGGAAATGCGCTAACAAAAAAAGTGTCATAAAAAGCACCCGTTGATGGCAACACGACACACTATCAACAACCAATTCAGTATTAATCTTCCGTTACGAATTAACTGGTAACCTCCTCAGATTCGGTAAATTCGATACACAATAACTTAACAAATACATGTAAATGCGATTTTGGAACGAAGCATACAAATGGATCATACGAGATAAAACTTAAGAACTACACAGTAAATATTGGTTAATTGTCTTTAATTAGTTGAAAATCGTTAACAGTACTTAAAATCAGTAACAGTATTATTTTTCGTGCTTTAACAGTGTTAATTTCGTAGCAAGAAACAAAGGCCAACTTTCGGAGAATCTTTCGCATCAACAATAGTATGCGTTCCTCGTAATTTTAACTTTTTGTTTTCAATGTTAAAATAAATGTAAAATATAAATCGGACTAATTAAGACACTTCGTTTCGTGATTGTCCTTCGTATTTTTTTAAATATATTATTCTCTTCTCTCTTATTAAAAAAAAAAAGCTTATATTGCTATCAATTAACAGCCTAATATACGTATAAGGCACGTTACATTGTTGTCTTTCGACAAATGCAAAAGAAGAGTTGTTCCTACGTTTCATTACTATATTAACAAACCAAAAAGTTAATGTTACCTTTTAACATATAAACATATTTTTATACGAACATACTTGAAAAAATATGTATAATAATTGATATAAATGATAATGTAAAAGTAGAAAGAACGTACTATTTGCGTGGTTATAAAAATATAACTATAAAACTCTGTCTACCTCTCTTTCTCAGATGTTATTTGATGTGTTATTCAGAATGTCCATCAAATGACAAGTAACAAAACCTTCTCATCATTAAAAAAAAAATAGAAAAAATAATAAAAGCTGTTTCAATTAAACGGAATTGATATAGGTTTTTTGAGATCTCTAACAATAAGTATATCTTATAATCGTATATATTTCCAATTTATCTAAATTCAAAATATTAAAATGACGGAATGATAATTCGAGCAATTCCTTTGATAATATTGTGGCGGCTGAGAAGAAGAAAATTCAAAATAAATAATAATAATAATAAAAAAAAACATTACATTATTCCTAATTGATCGTCAGAATTTTTGTTACTGTGTTACATACAAAGTTTCAGAATTTTAATTATTGCAGGCACAATTTATCGCAGTTATATATCGCAGAGAGTTTGGTCCCATGATTCTAATATATTATAAGTGTTAAACTATATATTGTTATTTAAAAAATTGATCGCGACCATGTTCGCGCTGAATTTTGGATACTTTCGTAAAACACGTTCTCTTCAAGCATTTGCGAAGCAAACTTAAAAGTTTATACATTTTCTCAAGCATTCCCCGGTTATATACTTCAAAATAGACTATTCAATCTTATTAAAGTTGTCCACGAAATTTCGAGATAGCTATTATCTGCGTTAATGTTTCGGAATTTTCGATTTAATAATCAAAATAATTTTGCTTTTCCATTTATCGTATCAGCCAGTGACATTCTGTTGAAACCGAAGGAAAAGACAAGTGAATTTTGAAAACTTTTACAAATAGCTACACACTAATTAAAGTAAATACCTAATTTTTTGTTTGTTATTTCGAATAACAGCAAACGAATAACTTCGCAACAAAAGCGCTACCTCGAGTATTATAGATATATCGCGTTTCTTACTCCGTCTTTTACTTAAGCAAAGCACTCGAATTTAAGTGCTTTAGTCGACACACAATGATTAGCGAGTGTCAAAAAGAATATTTAAATCTGCGCCGGCTCGACATAGTTAGCAGGTAACATGCCGTGTCGCCCCGTACGCTGCACCAATCCGGTCATCCATCCCTCGTCGACGGCTGTGCAATTGACAATCAGATCACCGTCACAGAAGCTCACTTCGTCGAGATCCTGTGCCTCGTAATCATACATCGCTCTGTATACTCTCTGCAAAGAAAAAAAACATTGTAGAAAACAAATATGTAAACAATATAATGCAACAATATAAATAATTAAAGAGATATTTACTCCAACGTTAGAAGGCGGAGGCGGCTGCTGATGCTGAGGTTGGTGCTGAGGTTGATGCTGAGGTTGGTGCTGAGAATGGTGCTGCGATTGATGCTGAGAGACATGATTGTTGTTCGTGGCTGGTGTTAGCGATCCGTAATAGTCGTTTACCGGATCGATGTCAGCAACCGAGCCGATTTTTCGTGTCGGTGGATTCGTCACTGCAATGTGTATCTTTGTGTAGAACTTATCCATAATTCCATAGAACTGTTAATTTGCGTCAATACATCGTTCAATCTAACGTCATAAATTTTAGTAACAAGTGGTGTAAACAAAGAACCAGAAGAAGAAACGTTACGCAAAAGCGATTACACACTTTCTATTTTCCCAACGAGGCGAGCAGCGCGATGTCGTAACAATTAATTCCAGTGCAAATTGCTATGACGACTTGCTTTTGTTGATGAATCGCGTGAGATGCAGATACAAAGTGTACGTATGACGCAAGTATGAAATATGTATGTTTAATCTGACAAGCGGCAATAAGACTATAAGCACACATAGCAATCTAAGCTTATAATAATTCTGCGATCGAGCTATATAAATAGAATTAAATTGTCTATCGTAATAAAAGAGTAATCCAATTAAAAATTGCAAATCCGTAGATCGTCAGAAAATGTGCGTAAGATAAAAATTATATAAAAAAAGTAAAAATAATATTACACACACGCACACGGAAGGAGAGAACACTCATAAATAATTCTTATCACTTACGTGTTGCACACATGCTATTGTAATTTTACACGACGCAATAATATCATCAAGTATAGTATTAATGTTATGTACAATGCATCTGTGTTACAAAATTATTTGTTACAAATAAAGTCGTATCATTGCTCCAGTGTCATACGATAATCAAGTATAGCACAGGCATCATGCAATTCAATTCCATCGTCAACACGGTGGAAAGAAAAAAATGTGCAGCGATTGCAGACGCGAAGACAAACGCACCTGGTCCCTTGTCGCTCGTATAGATAACCGTTGTGGCAGCTTGTCTTGCGGAATAAGGACTCGGCCTCGCTTCGCTAAGAGGATCGTAATCGGCGATCCTACCTGGTGTCCTCTGTACAGGCGAGTTCGCCGTTCTTGCGGGCGGCGGATTGGCGTTTATACTTGATGCAGGAGCGATCGTACCGTCCGTGTACTCTACGTATTCTATATCAACAGTGTACAGAGAAGCTAGCGATACATGATTCAACAAGAAGCGCGGCACGATCCGCCACCACGAATGGCAATGGTCGAGTATGTGTGTATATAAAAACAAATAAATTGCGAACGTTGAAGATAACAAACATAAAACAACGAATATTAAAATTCGTTTCTTCGAGTTTCGCATTACCGTTCGAATCGATTGAGCGAACAAGTGTGAGAGTCGTGTGACCGTTGTATCTTTTCCCCGCATTTTTTTGAATATTAAAATTAGCAATTAGTTTTTCATATTGTGCGTATGAAAAAAAAACTTGGGGATTAGACACTGTTACGAAAATCGTCATGAATGATCGGTGCTAGAACATAAAGAAATTAATTACGCTGTTCAACACTTACTAAACACGATTAAAAAGCCCAAGAGCGCACGTATGAGAACGGTACTGTTACCGTTGTACACGATGATTTACGACAGAAAGATAGTAGCGTAATAACACGTCGTACGCGCGCGGGGCGCACAAAAGTAGAGAATCAACGATTATATTCACCACTTACCTATTTGTTCGCCGTTTTCACCGGTCATCGTCCTCTTTTGCTCCATGATCGCCTTCTTCTCGAGCTCGCCGTGATAAGCGACATTCGAGATTATCTTACTGTTCTGTTTGATTCTAAGCGTTTCCGGATCGTCCGCCACCTGCGTAAACTTTCCCTTCGCCTTCTCGAACTCGGCGTGATACTTCACGTTGCTCTGTATCTTCGTGTTCTCCGCGATACGTTTCAGCTCCGGTGTCTCCGCCATCGTTGTGGCTTTTGCTTTTGGTATGTGTCTGTGTGTTCGAAAACACGAGAAAAAGAGAAAAGTTATTAACACAAGTGATACTTTTTTTATTTTTGCAACAATATTTTCTTTTTCTCGCATAAAATTCAAGGATTTCGGAACACCCGTTAGATCGCGTATTCCAGTTTCAGTTTCGTGTTTCTTTCGTCTTAGCGAGAATATCTCGCACGTGTGTGTGTGTGTGTGTGTGTGTGCACACGCGCGAGCCTCTCACATTGTTTTACATAGATTCCCCGGGCGATCTTCTCTACAAAGAAAACATGGAAGTTCACTGAATAATACAAGTTTCAAGCGAACGACAAGCGGTCAACGACGTCACTCTTATCGTGAGCATCCTTTATGCGCGGTAGTGTGTCGATTATACTAGATGCAAAGAGAGAGAGAGAGAGAGAGAAAGAGAGAGAGAGAGAGAGAGAGAGAGAGAGAGAGAGAGAGACGAATGACATAAAAGCGAACTTGTGCTGCTCTCGCGGTGTCGAGATTATGTACGCGAAATATGAAATCAGTTCGAAAAAGTCAACTATCCTACTCGTGCGCGCGCACAATGATGCTAATGTGTGTGCGTGTGTGATAACGATATTTACATTTTTTTGTCATTATCATTGCCCCACAGAGCAACGTTATCTACAGGTCTCTGCATTAGACAACTTTCGCCGCGAATTAGACATATGTGATAATAAAAAACTTTCAGTCTTAAAACAGTTATTCCATTTCCGATGCAAACCGATGAAGATTTATTCCGCGTGGTAGTTAATATATTACTTGAGATACGTTATAAAATGTCTTCCTCGTCTTTTTGTTTAACCAAGAAATTCCTTCTAACAGCGATTATTGTTACGTCTTACGCCTCGTAAGACGCACAAAGCGCTTTTCATTTACACATATCGCAGCTGTGAGAACTTATTAATTAGACGAGTAATGATGAAACTAGCGATTAGCGTAAGCCGGCGAATTAAATGCTCGTAAACTAAGCTATTTTGAGCGGCGCTAGCGTGTTACCTACGTACAATGTACACGGATAATTAAGCCTCGCACGCGCAAAGCGCTTTTGCCCGAAGCGCTCTCTCTCTCTGCGCGCGAATTTGCAATAAGGAAAATTTATTTAATCGACGTGCGAGCGCCGAGTGAAATTCGATAGAAACCTCACTTGGCCGATTGGCAACTCGACCGATTTAATCGCAACGTGTAACTATCCGGTACCTACTTATTGAGATAGAAATCGGCGCGTGAACGCGTAACCGTACGTATGTACGCGCGCATGTACACGTGTAAGTAAGTGACACGCGTGAGAATGCATTTCGGTGACACGTGGTGCGAACGTATCGACGCGGTATCGTATCGCGGTAACAAAAAAGAAAACAAAAATAAATAAAAAAATGTCGGAGCTATGGCGCAACTAAGGAAGTACTTTGCATTGTATTAATAGAAATACCGGGCTCAAAAACCTGTTACCAAGTTGCCACTTTCTATACCGTGCTTTTTTTCACGCGTCCGAGAATGTGTTATATTTATATACCGTAACACAATATTTTCTGATAAAATATGAGAGAATATTCTGTTACACATGCGCGCGGGAGTACACACGTAACGATAAATAATGATTTATCGTTTCAAATTAAATTATTGCTCGCAAAATCTAATTGCCTCAAAAAAACGCGTTCTTCTAATGATTGCGCTGATGTAACAACACAACATCAATCAATCTTTGAATTATTCTCCCGAGACAATCATCGAAAGCGAATCGTGTAAATCGGATTTATAACGTGTGTGCGAGACGTAATCGAGATTTGTGTCACGACTTCGCTTTCCTTGTACGGGGGGGTTATAGTACGCGCGTTGTCTTACCCCGGTGTGTAATTGTGCCACGCGATTACGTAATAACGTCTCGGTGCACCGTGTACGAATATAATAGGCGTGCGCGCACAGATCCGGACTCTCTTTGTCCGGACGAGGCGAGGAGAGTCGCACATTGTTCCAACGTTCCCCACGTGGAAAACTTTATCTTGACGATGCGTCGTGGTATGTTCGAGTTCCTCGAATTCAGCGTGGAAAAAAAGTGGGGAATTGCTAAAAATACACACGCTGTGAGAACGAGAAAAGAGAATAACCGCGAGAAACAATGCGGTCGTCTCTACTCGTTCGCGATTGTGTCGCACTTTTCTCAAATTGTTGTATTATTGCGCACAACGATGGAAAATAATAATATTAACGAATAGTAGATACGATGAACGGCAAAAGAGGATACGTATTTCGCGAAGTGCTCAGAATAACACACGTATACGAAGCTGTAATTTTCGAGATAAGTTGAAACGAAAGAGGCCGCATGAGAAAGATAACTCGAACTTCTGTATCGATATCTTCAACTCCACAAGATTGCGCTTGCGATAAGAGGGAACACTTAGCTCGATAAGAAACAATTATTTGATAAGGAACGGTTTCACAAATAAGGAAGATTTGTACGAGAGATATCGAAGTTACAATATATGATTTAAATAATCTCGTCAATGAATAGTCGTTTTCCGCAAAAAAATTTTATAATACGCAATATGGCATGTACAATCAATTCGCTTCTTCTTGGGAACTGTCCCATTACGGATTACATCGACCGCAATATGAACGAAGTGATTCATCGAATAATTTAACTACGTAACACATACACGCGCGCGCGCATTGCGATGACTAATCTCTTAATAAAACGTTCTATCTCTCTTTTCCTTTTCTTCTTCCTTCTTTCCCCCCCCCCTCTCTCTCTCTCTCTCTCTATCTTCTCACCTATTTACAACGACATAAGTCCGTAAGATATCTCTTTTATTGAATTCTACTTACGTATTCAAAGCCGTCTTAGGTAGAAAATATGGAAATTTAACGTATGTTAGCATATAACTCAAGTAAAGTTAACGTAAATCCGATACGCAAAATGTGTTTTTTAACACTGCTTTCTTAAAATAAATCTCATAAAGTCGCAAAAAAATTTACACTTATTATCGTTCATTGATAACATCGCGGACTCTACGCGTATTTATTTACGCGTGCGACAGGACACGTTTCATTGTTCGATAAGGCTTCTTCTTTCTCGGATTACTTGTTTACATACGCGCGACACTGCTCCATGCTTTATCGAATATTACGGAGCGTGAAACGCACAGCCGATGTGCATCGAAGCAGATAACATCTGTTGCACCTGATGTTATCGCAGGTCGATCGAGTGGCAGCAACAAGATAGTATCAGGAAATTACGACCGAGGTTCTTAACCAAGGTTCTTAAGAAGCCAACACATTGAACAAGAGATTTTAGCAATGGAGGATAATTGTTTAGTTCGACTCTCCACATCGTCGATTTGAAATCTAATGAATTTTTTATTCTACCCAGTAGAATGTTCTTAGAGGTCGTTAATTTTCCGATCTAACTTACGAAGCTATAAATTTTTGCGCATTGAGAAAAATGCCTTCTTGTATGATTTACGTATCTTCGTATGCAGGATCTGCGTATTTTTTCCTGAGAAATTTATTCGACGCTCGCGACCTTTAAAGTTTAATGGTATAAAGTTTTCCAATACGCACGCGAGAGTGGGATAAATGACAGCGTGACGTTAAAGAACGTTAAAACCGCACATTTCTCTTTCTCTCTCGCGCGAGTGATTGCGTGCGTGTACTACAATATTGGACCGATGCGCGCAACGATGTAAAGTTTTGTGCGATGACGCGGGAGGAAATACTTCTCTCAGAATAGATTTATTGGATTCCGTTACTGAGGAAGAGGCTTCGGAAACTTGTCAATCGTGACGACAAAGCGAAGCCATATCTCCGGCCGCGTTCTAGAAATTCTCACAAAAGCCGGGAGAGCATGAAAAGTCTCTCGGCGAGGCATCACCTCGTTTAAAAAGAACGATAAAAAATTTATCTTTTCTTCGATATTTAACATTGTTGTAAATTAAAACATTTTGTGAAACGTGTGCTCTAAACACACCAATTCTCCGACACGTGGAACAGACGCAAGAAAATTGTATTTAAATCGAGATTACGGTAAGATCCAAAAAACCAAGTTCGGCTCATATAACGTACAATCGTATTTGCTAGATTAGGAAACATCATGGAAATCGTGCACTCGCGGCAACTGCTTCGCGATTTAATTAACTGTAGAAAATTACACGCTTTCCATAAACAAGCATACTAATTTTCTAGGCTTCGGGTAGACATCTCGCTTGCAAATGTTGGTTGTCTTTCGGGAAGAGAAACATTATTTTCCTAATGGTAAATTGCCTCACGAAAGTTCAGTGTACTTTCCAGAGTACGTCACACTGTCAACGTTTGTTACCAAGTGGAAGTCTAATATCTAACTCTTCACGAAGAGTGGTTCGCTTTGATAACAAAATTTATTACTGATAAGTAAATAGAAAAGGAGTATAGAAACGCTTCAAAAAAATTCTCATAAAAACAGGAAAAATATCATGGCCCTTTGAAACAAAAAACACTGGTGGTAATGTGTGTGTGATAGTAGCATTACTTTATTCAAGCAACGTAATATATAAAACGTTTTCGGCCTTTGATTAGGCCTTTATCAATATATGTCTATAAAAATAAATCAATTGTTAGATTCGCAAAATTTAAACCGTTGTACACTTCTGTCGGTCCTCAGTTACTTTTATATTATCAAATTGTAATCATGTGACTCGATTAAGTTTTTATTTCAAGAACAACATTATTATGTGCGTTAATCAATTGACAAATTCCATCTACTTGTCTGTAAGTTGTAATTGTAATTTTATAAATTTTGCGAATCTAACAATTGATTTATTTTTGTAGACATATATTGATAAAGGCCTAATCAAAGGCCGAAAACGTTTTATATATTACGTTGCTTGAATAAAGTAATGCTACTATCACACACACATTACCACCAGTGTTTTTTGCTTCAAAGGGCCATGATATTTTTCCTGTTCTTATGATAAGTAAATGTTAATCACAAGAACTGGCTTGCGTCAGACCAAA